CAGCAATGCCCAAGGTGGTCCATCTTCTCTCGTGGTCCTTGTATCGTCGAAGTGGCTGCAGTAAAGGACAGAGAGGTATACATCTTTGCGTGCATTTTCCATCACCATTGTCTAATCATTTCTGTTTAGGTTATACTCACTGCTCCCCCACCGCCAGAAAAAATGGAGCAGCAAACCCAATCACACACCCAGGAATCATCCACGACACAGCCTGCTTCAGGTACTAATGCTACTACACCACATTGCAGATACCCACTACCCGTCCAATTATTGGCTCATCTCGTGCTTTTTTGTTGCTGCGCATCACCTCAACACGCTAATGGAAATGCACAACCAACATAACAGCAGCAAGGCCAACCACAAGGCCGAGTCCATGCATCATCACAGACTTGTCCTGCTGCCCCTTCGACATCTGCGACACCTACTGCTCTTGATAGTACCCACACTATCATGCCAGGTGCAGCAAGTGCATAGCCATAGTTCCAGGACAGACTCGGTTTGTTCTTCTCCCTGCATGCAGATGGCCCTTATTACTGTAGCATATGGACGATTATCTCATCTTTGTGTCTGGTTCTTTTCTAATTATCATTGTCTTACTATTCACGCCAAGGGAATGTATTTGATTACCACTGTACTGGACGGTTTCACAGGTCAGCACGATACGACAGGCATGTTACAAGGCAGGTAAATTATACTTGACATAAGTGAGTGGCCGTTCTAACCCATGCTTGCAATAAACACTCGTATGCAGTGTTTGAGGTTGATTGGACTGTTTAGAGTAAACACGCTGGTAAAAGAGCTAGCAATTATTGAAAAGAGCTTGTAGGGAGCTTCTCGTCGAAGCAGGGTGGGTGCTGCTCACACCTTGTACGTGCACGTGAACAGGAGGGGCTCCATTAAGGGTGCATGTAGGTTGAAGTCAAGGACATATCTCAAGAACAAATCACGCGTCATCAGCACATAAAAGATGTGAGATATGGGATCAACTTCTGATGGAGCTGTGCATTTGGAACCTGGATAGAGGCACTGCTCCATATTGTTACGCACTCAAATAGATCTGTTAGGCGGAGCCCTAAGAGGGGCGTCGTCCGCTAACGTTCGTGACGTAACCGGAAGGATCCGGTATAGCAAGTGAGACTGGCGATGACGAGTCGGCAGCGATCACAGTACACGCGTGTCATGTGACTTCGTAGACGGATGTCTGTGAAGTTGCTCAAGGTAAGGACTGTCTTGTCCATACGATGAGGTCGATCGAGGTAGACTTAGTCGCGATGAGCAACTAAGAAAAGATACTAGAGACTGAAGCCAAAGGGGCGTTCAGAGGGAAGTATGTTCCAGGGAAGATTGAGTAGATTCAAGTTAGAGAATCTAGTACAATGTGACCGACTACTTATACTAAGTGGAGAGGGTTAAGGGCAAGGCTACCACACAGTAGGTAAGGGTAAAGGGGAAACGAGAATGGTATAGGTGCATTGGCAACAGAGCCGGATTAGTGATGGATGGTCGAATGTGGAATGAGACCGAGAAACGTTGGAACAGACCAACGGTAAGAATACAACGTGCGGGAATCCGCAGTCAGAAGGAACAAAAAGGGAAAGCCACATTGGTGGCACAAGTCAGACCGAGTCATAGGTGCGGGACCACATTGGTGGTCGAATCAGGGGAGGAACGTGCGTGCACGTGCATAGAGGCGGACGATGCGAGGGACGGGAACGGTCCCAAGGATCCGGTCAACGGAAAGTCGGTAAAGGAGGATGAGCCGGTAGATGGTGAGGGCGAGGATGAAGGGAAAATGATAGGGGGGCCACGTGACCGATGTTACTTGTAACAGTCGCAGACGAGAGCCATCGAGATGGAACATGGGCTGGAAGAAATGCAATGAGTGAGGAGCGGGGCACCCCACCTAGCCCTTACGTATAGGAACATTCGTTCATATCTGCACAGCAATACGCTGTGAAGCGAATACAGGGAAATGCGCATGGGACAAACCTTAAAAGACGAGGTGAACGAAGTGCCTCAATTTCCTTGACTCCCAACCAGACGCCCTCTGATCGCTGGTGAGCAAGGGAAGGTCTAAACAGTGTTGCTCATAAGTGATACTGTAGGCTTTTCTGCGGGATACAGCTGACCAGATGTTTGCCATTTGGATACCCACAAAAATCTCTTGCACATTCTGATATCTCAAGTAACGACGCAGCAACTCCTCAATAGACAGTCCCGAAGTCAGAGTTTTGAGTAAGGAGTGGACCTATAAGTGGGCTGTCTTATCAGTAATCACTCGCGTACTCTGACAAGTAAGGTGACAAAAACAGGACTACTGCTGTTGCCAGATAACCCGATCTGATACCAAGATCCGGCCTCTCTCGCATACATAGTCCCCAATCTGCTGTGCTTGAGATACCGAGCGCCGCCCATGCCTTCCTTCAGCGGTAAAACACAAGCAATCACGCCACATCAGACGTTCCAAGGTCATACTAGCTGGATAACTGGTGTTGTACATCTGCATGTCGGACGACAGATCATCACATGTTCGGTAGACAGCTCACTCTGACTATGGGACCTAGAGAGCAGCACACAGATAAAAGAGGATTGGCGACTCGGAGATGATGATGACGCCGGAAAGTGGTCTATGGCATTGTCTCCAAATGGCAAGACAATTGCAAGTGGATGCAATGAAGGGAAAGTGAGCTTATGGGACGTCGAGACGAGGAAGGTTATTGCCAAATGGTCAGGACACACCACTGTCGTGTGTGCACTGTGCTGGAGTGTGGATGGTAAGCGAGTGCTGAGCGGATCCTGGGATGGGACAGCAAGAGTCTGGGATGTCAAGAGCAGCCAAACTGTCTTAACAATCAAAACCAGCCATGAATGGGTGAACGCGGTGACATACTCACCTGATGCAACGAAAATCGCAACCGATGGGGACAAAGAGAATGCAGTCAAAATTTGGGATGCTAACACGGGCAAGCTACTTGACACGCTCAAACACAACCAGCCTGTTTGGAGCTTGGCCTGGACGTCGAACGGAAAGAAACTTATCTCCGGTTCATATGACTCAATTAGGATATATGACACAGCCACTTGGCAGGAGATCGCCAATCTGGGAGGTCACGCATTCTGGGTCAAAGCCATTACCTTGTCTCAAAACGACCGCCTTTTATGTGCATCAGATTATGCGCATGAAACAGTGCGTCTATGGAATCTCGACACAAACATTCCAGTCGGACCACCCCTCCAGCACAAAAATCAAGTAAACTGCACAGCCCTTTCCAATGATGGAAAAGTTTTAGCCACTGGTTGCAAAAACGAAAACGTGTATGTGTGGGACATCCAAGCCATCCTCAAAGAAGGTGGCCTTGAAGACCTCCTCCGGCCTTCATCTGATGTAAATAAAGCTCATGGTTCTTCAATCAAAACCATACTAATATTCTCCCATTCTCAGGTTGTAGCCCAAGAGTCATTAATGGATGTACGTGATTTGTTTCTCCAATCTTCCCAATGGTTGTAACCTGTATATTCTATTTAGGCGGATGCTACGCAGGCCGTGGATGACATCGATGAACTTTTGCCAGGTTTTTTCACAGATGGTATTAATGTGCGTTATCAGTGTTTTTAATCCGCTCCTGTGCTGACCTCTTGATTTCAGTCCTCCAGAACGTACTGTAACTATCACCATTCCTCTTCCCGCCGTCCTCGCCCTCTTGCTCTTTCTTTTGGGAGCGTTAATACGCTCCTCGGTCGCCTTTCGTTGCCTTTCCGCTCTCACTCCAAGACTAATAAATCAACTGAACTCCAGCAACGCCCAAGGCGGGCTTTATTGTCTCGTGGTCCTCGTATTGTTGAAGTTTTTGCAGTGAAGGACAGAGAGGTATGTGTTTTTTGCGTGCATTTTCTATCATCTTGGTTTAACGATTTCTGTCAAGGTCATATATACTGCCCCGCCGCCGCCAGAAAAAACACAGCAGCAAACCCAATCGCACGCCCAGGGGTCATCCACGACACAGCCTGCCCCAGATGCTAATTCTACTATACCACGTCCAAGATATGCGCATTCACTACCCGTCCGGTTGTTGGCTCATTTCGTGCTTTTTCTCTGCTGCGCATCTCCTCAACATGCCGATGTTAATGCACAACCAATGCAGCAGCAGCAAGGTCAAGTCCAGCCCCAGGCGTCATCATTGCAGACCCAATCTATTGCCGCCTCGACATCTACGATACCTGCTCCCACGACTAGTCCTACCGTGCTAAGTGCAGCAAGCACGTAGCCATGGCCCCTCATTATCTTTTCTGCTGTGCAGCTCTCCACAGGCCGATGGACATTTTCACATTTACTTATAATTCTTCTGTAGTCTTATCTTTTTCTTCATATCATTTCGCAACCAACGTACATCAATTTTGTTTCCTCATGAGGCTCATGCAATGCATCGAACTCGACAATGTCAACCGTTGCGTCCTTTAGGGTCTGTGATCCTTATGTCGGACATAGCCATATTCGAGTGTGGGGCGCTTGCTCTCGGCTTTCTATCGTGAGGTGAGAGGAACATTCAAGTTCAATTAAGACGATGACTAGCACGGATGATGGTTCATTGTCCTACACAACCCATTTTCCGTCCAGATTTTCATTTCGCAACTCGATCTCATCACCTAACTAGGAGAATAGTCAACACAGCGAAGATTCGGCAAGAGAATCTCATCAAAGGCAGCATGCTTTTTCTACCCGTCATCTTCAATGAACGTTGTATACGGTAGCCTGGTGGTCATGGGTAAAATTTCTTTATTTTAACCTAATGCGCATCCGCCTCGAATCATGCCCATAGTAACATCTTATCGGTCTCCTCTGGCATGCTAACTTCGATATGCTACACCCCTTGCGTTGATGGCCTCATTATATCGCTGTTTCCAACTTTCAGTGCAGCGTTCATCCCAAAAATCTGATGCGGTGCTCTTGGCTCTTGGGTAAACCTCTGCGAGACTCTGATTCCACGCCATGCGCGATTTCTTAACTGCATAATATCTATTTCACAGACATGTACGCAGACCGGACCCTGGCAAACAAACCATCTTTCCGAAAAACAATGACAAGGCTGTCTTATAATGCAACTGCGGCCCTTGCATGTCTTCGCATTCAATGTAATCGTACACAATTCACCACTATTCTCTGTAACATCCATATCAATACCTACGCCGCTTTGAAAGCATCTCCCACAGCCTTGATGGCGTCGTCAGCCTGCTGCTTCCCAACTTTCAGCGCAGCATCCATCCCAAGAATCTGATGCGATGCTCCTGGGTAAACCTTTGCCTCTACCTTCACCCCAAGCGACTTCAACTTCTCGCCATACGCGAGTCCTTCATCCCGCAGAATATCGAGTTCACAGACGCTAACGAATGCAGGCGGGACCTTGGCAAGCAAAGCATCCGACGCGAAGATAGGCGAGTTGTCTGGTTCTGCCCAGGTCGCAGGGTCAGGAAGGTACATGTTGCGGAACCACATCATCCGCCCTTCGCACAGCCAAACAGTATTCTGGCACTCTTTCCAAGAAGGGTATCTCTCGTCGGTGACGGATGCCGTATTGTCAATCACTGCAAGCTGGTGAGGGAGACGGACATGTGCAGTGCTCTATGCTTACCAGGCACAATCAACAGCTGGAAGATGATGGGGATGGGAGGCGTGAGTTCTTGCGCCTTGAGACATGCGATTGCAGCTAAATTCCCGCCGCTGATAAAAGTTATGTTTCATCATGTATTCGTACGGGATGGGACGGTACGCACCTGGACGACCCTCCAATTGCGATTTTGTTCACGTTCGCATTGAACTCCGCCTTCCCGTTGTAATAAATGAATTTCAACGCATCGACCGTGTCCTCGACCGCTGCAGGATATGGGTTCTCAGGAGCCAAGCGATAGTCCAGGGCCACCGAAACGCAGTTGTTATCTTAAACACAATTAGTAAGCTCCAGTCCGACAACGGTCCTCACTGTCCGACCTCACCTTTGCATTGACGGGATATGAACGAGTTCAAAGTATCGATACTCCCAAGCGTCCATCCACCTTAGAATTCTCAGCTAAAATCCGCCGAACAATCATAGACCGTTACCTCCATGGATATATAACAACACCGGCCACCCTTCCTTCAGGTATGAAAGCCCGAATCTTGCAGTTCTGCAGACTGAATCTTTGACAGCCCCAACTGTCCTAATAGACGAGCCACCTGGGATGTAGGGCGCCTTCCTGATATCCGGATGCCAGGGGATCGTATGCGGGGGCACGCGGTGGGCTAGATGGATATTATGGAACGTGACGTATTCAGGGTCGAGGCGGGGAAGAATGTCAGGGTGGATAGCGGAGGGAAGGGCCGCCCTCAGGCTAGAGCATGCAAGTGCTCATGCTAGCATGATCCGAAGTAACAGAGACAATGTTAAACATACCGTGATGAGTTGGTGATAAATAGTCATACCAGTATTACCAGCAGTGAGCTCAGAAGGGTGTCAGACACAGCGTCAAACGAACCGCATACCATATCATAGAAGTTGCGCAGTCCAGTACCATTCTGGGGTATCTCCGACAAAGTGTCGTAATAAGCGGGACCCTTTTGTTTGGCCAGCTCCACAACTAAAGTGAATGAACAAAT